ACATGTGTCTTGTTCCCAGAAGACCACTTTTCTACCAGCACAACTTCAGCTCTGCTGCCAAAGAAGGGATGCCCTGACTGTGGGTTAGATAATGTTTGCAGCAGCTATTGTACTTGGCTAATGAACCTTGGCTAATGCTTTCTTTTTGTTTAAACAAACAAATGCTCTTCTCCATCTTCCCTCTGCTCCTGCATCAGCCAATTAATCTGTCACTTTGGTACAGCAGATTGGTTTCCATCAGATGACTTCAGATATTTCTTAGCTCCCTCAGTAGACTAGAACCCAGTGAGTTGGACAGCAAAGGAGTGTTTCTCCTGGTTAGAGGTTTCCTTCAAACACAGTGCTGTGCTGCAAGGTGAGCCCCAGGCTGCCTTCATTCCTAAGGCACGGGCCCCAGAAGCACCACCAGACTGCAGCTTGAACACCAAGTGGCAGACCAAGAGACAAGGCTGGCAAATCAGCTTTCAAACACAGAAGTCCAGAGTACCAGTGCTAGCAAATTAAGCATCATCTGAGAAGCACATTTGGAAGGCAATTCTGTGCTTAAGCTTGTGGTACAAGCTTCTCTCTGCAGCACCTAGCCAATGGAGAGAATGGAGCCACCGGCTCCATTAATATTCCCATTTGTCTCTCCATATTCTTCTCTTTCCGCAGAATCTGGAAGCAGAGAGCCACTGAACATTTATTGGTCCACTAAATCAGGAGGAGGAGGGATAAGATCCCGTGGATTCAGCCTAGCAACAAGGCACACATCATAGCTGTCGTGCATGAGGACATTGACGGCCACCACATTCCACTGGTTCTCCCATGTATCTAATTCGAGGATCTCTTTGGTGATGACTTCGTGACGAGCTGAAATGCAGAAACAACAGTAATCAGAACTGCAGCCAAACAGGATCAAAGAGGTTTGCAACAGTATTATTGCTTTTCTCTATAGGGTGGCAATGGAAAGGTTCTTTGTGGTACCAACAGCTACACTGTCTGAGGAGTATGCAAGTTTGTCATAGAATCAGTAAGGTTGGAAAAGACCTCTAAAATCATCCAGTCCAACTGTCCGTCTACCACCAATATTGCCCACTGAATTATGTCCCTAAGTACAATATCTCCCTGGACACTTCCAGGGACAGTGACTCCATTACCTCTCTAGGCAACCTGTGCCAGTGCATCACCATTCCACAGATTCTTCCTAATGTCCAACCTGAACCTCCTCTGGCACAACTTGAGGCCACACCTTCTTGTCCTATCAAAATCAGTGTCATTATATAGCAAACAAGTTGGTGTAGATGGAAACCTATACAGGTTATTCACTATTCATCCTCTGAACAGCAGATAGAAACTTAAGGTTGCCCACCTTGCTAGGAGCATGCAGGTGGCATTTAATTATGCAATCATGTGTCAAATGCTCACTTTAAGACGTAGTGCCTATTGTTAATGACATGCCTACATGCACTGCATCATCTTTTCTTTGCCAATAAAGCACGACATTAAGGCAAGCAGCTTTTTACTAACAAAAGTAATGAAAGCATCACCACACAGCAGAGAACCATAGTTGTCAACCAGCAGTGCTGTATTAAACTTCTTGTGAAAAGGTAAAAACCTTTCTTTGCTTTAACTCTCCAGCAATGTTGTTATTCAAATCCAAGCTATTTCCTAAAAATAAAAAACATCTTTTGTTTTTGCCCACTTTTTCATCTTAAGATTGCTTTCTTGCAGAATGTAACCTCAGTCTAAACTTTTCTTACTTTGAGATGAGGACATGCACATGCTTTGCTCTTAGATTGCTTCTCTTTCTTATGAATCTCTGGGCAGATTTTCTAGGAGCCAGGTCTCAAAGACTGACAAGAAGAAATCACATAATAACAGAATTATCAGAGCTGGAAGGGATCCTCTAGAGATCATCTAGTCCAACACCAAATACTTTACAGGTAATAGGGTAGGAATATGGTGTATATTCAACACCATTTTGAGTCTTGAAAGGCTTATGACAGAATGAACTGTAAAGGGTCCACACTGTGATCCACGTTCAGATCTTTTCTTTATTATTATTTTTTATACCACCTGAAAACCAACCCTTATCTAGTGGCTGCATCCCATCCTTTGGATACCACCCTTCTATGGTCTTACTGTGGTTTAAGTTCTGAGCAAAATTGGTGCTGATGTAACCATGGCGTAGCACCGTGGGATTTAGACACCCCTAGGTTTCCTATACAAGTAGTTCCAGGGTGCGGGGAGATCACATGAGGAAAAAAAGACTTATTCCACTGTCGGAATTGTTTTCCTTGCTGAACTATTTAGGTGCATGTCTGTGTTTCTGCACATGTGCAGGACCTGCAGCAACTGAGGATCTCTTGGCTTTTTGGAAATTTGCGTTGTGCATTTACCTAAGGCCACTCCGGCAATGTTTTTGTTGGCCTGAGCCCTCCAGGACACTCACAGATCTCTAGGAGATTGCTTGAGGATTAGGATGAGATCTCAGAATTTGGCCTCATCTGAGTAGTCCTTGTTCCATTCCTTTCTTCTCTTCACAGAAAGTGAACCAGTAGTCGTGATGGTTTGCTCATGGCACTTGGGTGGTTCATTAAGTACAGGAGAATAGGTAGGAAGGCAGCGACCTTCCAAAGGAGAAGGCAGTGAACCTCAAAAATACCCCACAGCACATGAAGAGAAAGCACAACCGAACCCTTAAGTGAATAGCACATGTCAGTACCAAAGAGTTCATGTGTGTCCATATGACCCTGTGACAGGGAGCAAGTTTTTCCTAAGATACAGCTATGAAGACAAACAGACCTGAGCTGTGACACAGGAGGCTCCAGTCCCTGGATTTATTATTAGATCATCTCCTTTATGCAATAAATTTGTACGCTTGGATTTTCTTTGGCATATATCATGACAAAAATGAGACAACCGGAGGAAAAGAAATCAAACAGTGGAAGTGTCTGAAACCTTCGGTGGGTGATTGTGACGCTACAGAGAAAATCATAATTAAAACATCAAAGGCAAACTCAGCTGTCCTTCCTTGCAAGCCTCGCTGTGTTTTTCCTGACCCTGGCAACTCACAACCTTTAATGTCCCTTGTTTCCCTTTTTTGTGGGATAATGTAGCTGGTTTTGTTCCCCTCTGCAAATTCTGCTTTCCAGCATGTGGACTGTTGGCTTGCTCTTAACCCTTGGGAGATAAAAAGGTTACGGTGCTGGAATAAAGGAAGCAATCACTTCTCCAGTCTTGTCTTGTTTCGTATGAAAGGAAGCAGCACCCTTTGGGCAAGAAAGTTCATGTGAGGAAAAGCACTGCTCACAATATCGTTATGCTTCAAAATATGACACACACCCTTTCTTTTTCAGATGAGAAATGGGCTAAAACACCTCAACTTTGATCCCTTCACTTCTCCCTCCCACACTCCCTTTGCATGGACTGAGAAAAGGTAATTTCTGTCACCAATTCCAGAAGTTGGTCACCTTTGATTCCAGACCGTAATGTTGGATTTGTATTTTAATCCCAATAAACTGCTTAAAATTTACCCAGGTACAAAGAATCTCACATTCGGCCTCATCTGTTTATCTTATTTGTGTTTGTTTGCTTCTAAGGCAATAGCTTTGCAGCCAAATTTATTTAAAGTTGATAGACAGCTACAAAAAGAAATAGGCTGTATTACATGGATTATCCTCTTAAAAAGCCACCCCACAATTCCCTGTTACACGTAGCACCATTCTGCATCACTTACCAGGCAGGCGCCTTAACTAAGGAAGGGATTTCTCTCCCTTCCAAGTGCTTTCAATCTTTTCTTCCTACAAAATGAGGCTGTATTTTTCTGCACGTTACTGTTTAATCCAAGAAGATGAAAATTGTTAAGAATCTTCTCTTATGGTTTGCTTTTCAGCATTAAACTCCTTTATATTAGAATCATTCGGGTAGTACAAACCTAAGCCTAATGCTTTCAGAAAAGTATAACAGCACTTATAGCAATATGGCTTTTTCCTATTTGGGAAAGGAAAAGGCTGTTTTCTCTCTACAAAGGATGTTTTTTATTTTGATATGGCCTGACTTCATTTTACGTTGTGTGCTTTCTCATGTCATTTGAATAAGGACAGACTGTAAATCAGGATGAACCATACTCAGAAAGACCCACACTATGACTGCAGGCAATGTTATAAATATTTGATCTACCTTTTTTTCTTTTTTTTTTCCCCAACTTCCTTCAGTTCGGGGAGGAGGAACATCTTCTCTTCAGAGTATACTGCTAATACAGCTCTGGGTTGTTGGGTTTTTTTGTATCTTTCCTGTTAGAAACTGAATGTTTGATAGAATTGTTTCAGGATGGAGAAGTTATTAAAGAGATAGACATAGAAGAATTAAGCAACATGCTTAACAGGCAGAAAATCTATAGCTTGTAGAGGACTATCAACCACTCAGCTATTATTTTGATAAGCCAATACCAAGAAATTTACTCTATGGACTGTTTGATGTACAGAACACTGAACTCAAATAAAATCATGCTGAATTTTAGTTCATTGGAATTAAACCTATAGCAAGTTTGCTGAAATGTGGTCAAGTTTTTAATTCCTCCTTACGAGAGCCTGCTGATATCAACCATTCTATGAGCATTCATTTTAGGGAGAAAAATTAAGGAAATACAGAGAGCATGTTCGATAATGTAGGGTGCTTCTGCACTCATCATTGCAGGGCATAGATAACCAAACTAGCTTTGGACAAGCACGCCTGCATCATAACCGTGGCATAACCATTGCTGTATGGCCAACAGTACGTAAGGAAGTTTATTCAAAGGAGGACCAGGTACCTCAGGATGGAACCACAACGAGTAATAGGCGTGTATCATAGAATCACAGAATCTCTAGGGCTGGAAAAGATCGCCCTAACCATCAACCCACCCCCACCATACCTACTGACCGCTGGCCCCTCAGTGCCACATCTCCATGGTTACTGAACACCTTCAGGGACAGTGCCTCCACCACTCCCTGGGCAGCCTGTGCCAGCGCATCACCACTCTTTTTTGAGAAGAAATTCTTCCTAATATCCAGCCTGAAATAGTCTTGGTGTCACATCTGCCCTTGTCCTTAAGATGCCCTGAAACATCCTCACCTAGACTGCTTTCCCAGCTCCTGCTGATGTCAGTCCTGGCACTTCTCAGGTTGTCTCAGAAACTTTTCCCATCAGCACAGTACTCTAACATGCTTTATCTTCCCTATCCATAAATCTATTTATGAAAAAAGCCATCAGACTTCTAGTGGTTGAATTGTTAACTAGCTGCTCCGCTCTTTCCATGGAAAAAGCACTTGAACATCACAAGGTGCCCATCAGTCCCCAGAGCCACATACTGAGGGTGCTCTTCCAAAAGATTCCCAGGTCCTTGTCACCCAGCAGCCACTCCAGAGCTGCCCGGAAGCAGCTCGGCCTCCAGTGCTGGTTCCTAACTGGTTTTGCATGCCATTATCTGCACCAGAGAGCAGACGGTGATTTTAAACATGTGGGATTAGCCTCTCCTACTTATCTTCCTCGCCACTAATAGCTGCTTTCATAATTACATGATGTAGAGTTAGGTGACTTGGGAATTGACATTTGTGTCACACTGGGAAGAAAGTGCATTTAGATCATTATCTCCAGATGTACTGGTTCCTGATGTGCAGAAGAAAAAAGAGTAAGTTCATCAAGTCTGTGGCCTCCAATCCCATCTGAGCCTGCGAGCTGCCCCCAACTCCACCAGCCTCGCTCACACCCAGGGGGTCACACATCCATCATCCACGCCTGTGGGCAGAAGCAGGCAGAGAATACACAGGAGAGGGAACTTGGTTCGGCTGTTTAACATGCTGGCCAGCCTTCAGGATGCCGAGTTCCAAGGCAGCGTTCCCCACCAGACACGGCAAAAGCTGAATTTATAGCTATGGCAGCTCACTGTTTTCCAAGCACCGGCATGGAGTAAGGTAAGCCACTCGCTCTCATAGACGAGGCTTCTATCCTCTCGCTCTGCTGTCTAATTCTTCAGGACCGTAACTGTGATCCACCCATTCCCTCACAAATCAATATCTATTAAAATAAATAAAGAATGGCCGACAGGAAGGAGCTTCTGATTCAGTTATTTCAACTGATTTTCTTGGGATTGATCCAGCTGCTTCAGCTTTTGAACTCTTTCCAGTTATCTATTGTTCGTGGGCCAGGCCTCCTCCAGCCCTATGGGCACGGATGCTGATGGTGCTGGGGGCAGGATGGTGGGTCACAGCAGAGCAGGATCAGTGCTCCTGGAGTCAATGCACCATTCACGGGAATAAAAGCTGGGAGATCAGAATAGGAATCAGCGGCCTCCGACCATATTAAGATACTGTTTCTAAATGCTTTGTGATGGGCTAATACATTATTAATCGGTGATATAAAGCATGTTTAGACTGTACGCATGACAGGCAGTTATGAACACAATGGAAGATGTCATACATGGCTGTGAGCCATGTTTCTAAACAACCTATTGACCTCTTTAGCAATTAATTAAGATGCATTAAAATGTCAATTAATCATTTATTAACCCTTTATAAGTTATAAATGAATCTTTGCAGGGAGCATGACCGAATTACTAATACAGTCAGGCGGCAGGCTGAATTTAGATCTGAAACAAGCAGGTGCTGCTCACCAGTGATTTCCTGACCTGCACTGGCCTTATTTACCACAGTGAGATTCTAGCTAATGAGCACAGGGCTGGAAGGAGCACCCCGGAGAGGTGTCAGAGCAGCCCTTCAGAGAACGGACAGAATTCAAGCGGCATTTTTCAGAGTGGACCCATAGACAAGCAGCAGTGGTGTGTCAGATTTCTGTGCTGAGTGAAACGCAGGGACCTCAAATCCATTTCATGGGTGGGGATGCATATGTAAATGGTAACAACTGTGGGCAGGAGAACTTTAATTATTCATCACTGCCTGGTAAATTCTAACCGAGGGAAGCAAGCAGTGCTGCAGATCTGCAGCCCAGGGTTTGCCCCTCTGCTTTATTTAGCTGGGAACATGCGAAGGTGCTGGAGAAACAGCTTTCCTTCCAATCCTTCATCCCCCAAACTTCACAAGTCTAGTATTTACTGTGCCAGACTTCTTAATGTCTAGATTTAATTTGATTCCAGTAATGTACCATAACCACTATAATAAAAAAAAACAAAACAGGCATTACAGCGATTCTCCATCTAAATCACATAATGGATGAGGCTGAGGGGAACAGCCTTTATGGGAGATTAGTCAAAATAAATAACTATTAAGCTAGTCCACTGTCAGGAGAGGGTGGCATGGAGATGCAAACTCATTAGCTCAGCTGGAATACAGTAATTATGACCCGGCTCTGCGCTGCCGCAAGCAGTGCTGCTGCTATTCCAGCACATGGATTGCAATTTATGTAAATAGGGAAGAAGAGGCCAGAAAGCACACCTGGGGTAAGCATACTTTTTTTTTTTTTTTTGGTAGAATCAGAGTTACACAGTTAGCAGACTGTTACCATATCACCTATCTAACAGCTGCAGACAAAATTGAGATTCTTGTGCTCCAAGTCCAAAGGCATCTCTTCCCCTTTTCCTCCCGCCACCAGTAATACCCCTGGAGTGAAAAAATGAATTACTGTTTGATAGCAGTGATAAGTAAATAGCAGATCTGAGCTGAGCTGCTCTGGCCCCACACAGAATTTTAACATATAGAGTAGGGAAGCAGCAAACGTTATCTTCTCTATGAACAGCGCTGAAGAAAGATGGCAGAACAGCCAGTTCAGAGAAAGGCAGTTCCACATCAAATGCAATAGCTGATAAAATCACAAGGCGTTTTAAGTGGCATGAGCCGCTACCAGCAGGCCTGTAAAGGATCTTATTTGAATTGAGGTGGCTGTCCCTTCGCTTTGCACACCAGCTGATGCCACATGGGAGTACAGTAATTACAATGAAGTTTAAATATGATAGAATTTAGTTCAAATCTGAGGCAGACAGTTGGACTAACACCTACAGACTAAAGCTATGATCAAGAAAACAGAGCCCTGCTGATTGTTCCCCCTGCCCCAGCCCCCAGAGACATGCTGTGAGATCTCTTTGAGGCTACAGCACGACATCGAGTATGTGCCTCCATGAGCTGATAGCAGTCACAGCAAACACACACTTGCCTTCATTCTTTTCACTGGAAAAAAAAAAAAAAAAAAAATTGTAATATTTAGAAGCAGTCAAAGGGAAAGAGAATACAATGTGGCAGGCATTTATTTGTGTGTAGTGCTTGCTGCGTACCTGCAGAGCTGCTCACCCTTCCTCCAACAAGGAGCACTAATGAGTCTGCTTCTGCCATGCCCAGCTTCACATTAATAGCTGCCAACCTGTGCAGGTGTCAGGTTTTAGAGCTATGTAAAGGCAAAGGAAATAAGATGCATGAACAAGAACACTATGCTCAGTCTGCGAAGGCTGCTTTAAAATCCATAGCTACAGCAGTAAATGCAGCAACATATTTTAGCAATTAGTGGCAAGCTGGCTGGCTGCTGCACACTGGGTCCTTCTGAATATTCATACTGCGACTGTCATTTTCACTCTGCAGAACTACAAACCAGTGGATAAACCCAATGATTTTAAACATTTCTGAATCTCTTGCTGAGTGCTACAACATTGCTAACAAAAGGCAGGCAAACACACTCATGCCACTCAGTTACGTGAGCTGGAGCTGAGCACCAGAGATGTGCAGAGTGTTGGTTCTTATTTGTCATAGTGGTTTTAGTAGAAAATGAACTAATTTATATAAACAATGGGCTAATGGACAATGTATGGCAAGCCATGCTAAAGCAGGAAACTGGAATTTGAATTCAAAACAAGCAGAAGTTGGATGCTAGGAAAACTTATTATCCAAAAGAGTTGTCAGGCATAGGGACGGACTGCCCAGGGAGTGTGGGGTCACCATCCCTGGGGTGATCAAGAACCATGGAAATGTAGCACTGAGGGACGTGGTCAATGAGCAATATTGGTGGTAGGTGGACAGTTGAACTGGATGATCTTAGAGGTCTTTTTCAACCTTAACGATTCTAGGTGTTTCCAATACAGGTCTCAGAGTGGTTTGTTCTGTCTAACCATAGACGCGAGGATCCCAACAGATTTGCCTTAGGTAAGCCAACTCTGAGTGCTCATATGCTGATAGAAACATGAAACATTAAGAGACAAGAGGTTCTCAGGGTTCTGAATTGCCTTCTTGTCTTTCAGAGCAGACTTAAAGCAGCAAGGAGATGAATGTCCCTCTGGAATTGTCTGTGCTTCTCCATAGGCTGCATGGAGCCTGGGGTCGCTAAGGTCTTCATGTAGGCACCCCAGCTAAGTCTAAATTTCTGCTTTTTCTTCCTCTGCTCCTGGGGATGCTGTTAGTGCTACTCCACTTCTCCTCCAAGCAAAGATTTGGTAGGCAATACAAGTGGGATGCAATTCCTGCCATCACAAAGCTTCAAGGAGTGTCATACAGGGCAATCTCAAAAGGGCAACATCTTGTCTTTCCATCCAAAATTAAGATCCTTTGGGCACTTGACAGCTATTTCTCAGTGTTGTGTTTGAGTATAGCATCTCTGGCCTCTAATTAACCATTCAGATCTACGGTCATACATGACGGCACGCAGAGCATGGTGCCCACAAAAGTAAAATTAAGATGAATAACATCCTTATTAGAGCAGCTTTTACATTGTTGGATTAAGAGTGAGGTTAAATGAACGCAAAGGGAAATTGAGGGAGTTGGAGACAGATATCCAGTACATAGAGGGTCCCTATACACAGCTGCTTATATATGCTGGCAAAGACTTTCCAGCACAGCAATATCTTGGGCTTGTTTGCTTTTTTTTGAGAAGCACTTGTACTCAAGTGTTCACAGCAGCCTTTTAGAGTTCAGCAGGCAGCAAACAGAGCCTACAGCTGTGCCTCCAGCTTGTTCCAAAAACTCCACTTGGTTGAAACTAAATTACAATGTTTGGTAAAATTGGAGTATCCTCTCTTGGTTGCATCCCTCACAAAAACTGAAGTTGCATGCCAAGAAACCCAAAAGACTAAAACCAAACAAGCACATTCTAAAATAACCCTATCTGCTACCAAAGCAGCAGCACATGCTGTTCTGGGAATATCCTGAATCTGTTGAGCAGCTGTAATTGTGAAAAAGTCAAGCCACTCTCCAAGTTCCCACATGACAGTAATAACCCTCTGTCCCTCACTCCAGCCTTCACCCCTAAAGAACAATACACCTTCCAGCATGCAGAGAGACAGGGACAGGGAAAGAAGCCAGCTAGATAACCTTCAAGTTCAGCACATGAACTCCAGACATCTATTCCTTGATGGTAGTAACTAGAAGCTATTGTTATGAAGATTTAAACAACCCTTTTCCTTTAATAAATTGAGGGTCACATTAAGAAGCCTATCTTTAAGGCACAGCTTCCTCTCAACTCCTCAGGCATTTGGATATACCAGATTTACAGCTGACAGTAAGAATCTTATTTTGGCTCCCTTTTAAAAGACATTACAATGTCTGACACCACAATCACTCTTTCTGCACTGGCATACAAAATGCACGCATAGCGGGGTCAGGTTGCACAGGTAACAGCGAAATTGACATTTTCTAACTCCAACTTACTGCTTTCTAATCTAAACAGTACTTTTAGGGCAGCGGAGCTCAATGCACAATCATAATATAGACTGCAATAACACAGCCAGGAGTCGGGACCCATAGAGCAGGCATTGTGTGTACATACAGAAGACAGCCAGCTTGAAACCCACATGGGAACTTCCCACCTCTCCCAGTACTACCATTCTTAACATGAGACTCAGAGACAGAACATAGTGGTACTGTAAAGAGCACTTTTATGGCTCTGAAGCTTATTCAGAAAACTTCATACTAAGCTGTTAGTCATCTTGAATGAAATTGCTTCATTTTCCAGTGAAAATGATCAGCCTTTTGAGATGTAAACCCACTGACTGAATAGGCTTTTTCCTTACACTGCTGAGGAAGAAGACAGATATGATGACACTGTGTTTGCTATGGAAATGCAAACATTCTGATGCTATGATGCATCATAACCATAATAATTCTGAGGTTGCAGAATTTGCATCAGAGATGGCATAAATGCAGGCCTGTTAGTGAGCTGCCTGCTGTACAACTGTTTTCAGGAAGCAGCCTCTTCAAGCAGCAGCAAACAAAGGGGAGGTGAGCTGTGAACTAAGACGTGGCAATCAATTTAAAACAGAGCAACCACAGAGTTTGTAATGCAACTAAAAACCAACACAGCCGTAGTCAGTATCATGTGGAGGATACATCTCCCAGGGACACCACGTGAACATTCCTGGGCAGCAGTGAGCCTGACATGACATGTATTAGTAGTGCATAATGCATTTCTGCATTATCTGCATTTTCTGCCATCACCCAGAAAGGAAATAGGGGTAGCAGCTGCTCCATAGCAGGAGAGTAAGTGTGCATGTGTTGAGAGGCTCTCTGCGTTTATAATTAGAATATAATGCTTAACAATACTGGGGATTTAGGCAGTAGGAAAATGAAGGGAGAAAGGTGGTCGTGACGCTGGGATCAGAAATCACCAGATCAGGGATTTTAGTACCTCAGCTCCCAACCTGGGTTACTGATTAAATGCACAAGGTTTTCCAGCACTGAAAATGAAAAGCATGTCAGTAAATAGAGCCAGCTACCACAGATCAATAACGCCTTAGTCTCCAACAGATATGCTCAAGTTCTTTCACGTCCATAACATACGCTGAGATTCTGATCTTAATGGCTCTGAATGTAAATCCAGAAGAATTCTGCTGAGTTCACAGTTTTGAAAAGATTCAGTGCTGATCAGAAACATCCCTAATTTTTCGTGCTTTGATAAGGAAAAAGCATGAGCGGATGAACAGAACACAATGCATATTGACATTAGGAGTCAGCAGTCCAAAGGACTCATTCAGCTCTGTGGCTCCAGGGCATGCCAGTGCCACCGACAGGGTTATTCAGCCAAGTCAGCTTGCGTACAGGGAAAGTTATTTCAACTGGGCAAAGAATCTCAGACTCATTTGAGTACCTGCTCCGTGAAATCCTCCGCAGAGGTACAGCTTGCCTTCCACGCAGCCTGCACAGGTAGAGTTTGTTCGCAAGGAGAGGAGCGGGGAAGGCATAGGAGGTCCGTCCCTCCAGAAGTCTCCATCAGGGTTATAAATCTCCACTGCATCAAGACATTTCCGTGTCTGCCCCCTGTCGCGGCCAAGGCACCCAATTCCTCCTATGGAAAAAGGACACGTAGGTCAAATGTAGCAGACCCAGGTTCTGCAGGAAAATACATTACTGGTTGCATCTTTTTTTTTTGTTTCCACATCTTCATGTGCCTCCTGTTCCTTTTCATTTTGCAGCTTGGAAAGATCATTAGAAAGTGAACTCAAAGCAGGACACAACCCATTACTTACAGAAATCCGGCACGATCCTTTCTGAGGGCTTGTAACAAAGGAAGGACAAGAAACATGTCTTCAAAACACAAAGGTATTTTATCTTGTTTTCTTCATTTGTGGTATAAATTGTCATGATTATGTTTTGTGTGCTGGAGTTTGTCATTAAGTTGCAGTGGATCCAAAATTATTTCCCAGTTACTGTTAGTGCACATGAATCTCACTTGCTAACCAACAGCTATTTGGGTTTGTCATTCTAAACGAAAGAAAGGTTATACCCATTTCTTAAGCAAAAGAGACAAAACCATCCTATTTGCAGGAGTACCAAATGAGTTATTTGTGACAAGCTCCACTGCTGGAGGGTTAATTAGGATGCCTGAATTCCACGTGTGGGACTGAAACAGATCCCAGTTTTACAAACTGTGCACTGCACTAAGCTTGTCTATCAGAGAGATGAGCCCCTAGTTCTAGCCCCCTAGCCCCCCAGTCCCCATTTACCTCTTCATGTAGACTGTACTATTTCTTCCAATCTTGGCAGCACTCTCTGAAGATATTTGCAAGAGAACACGTAACTGTTGATCACAATACTCCAAATTGGCCACCACCATTTTTCCTGATCTGTATTTTAGATTCAAGTAAGGACAAGATAAACATCCTTACTTGAATAAACATCCCATGAGAGCAACAAACTGAGAACCAAATTCAGCATCCATTAACCTCAGCTGGAAGTTTTCCTCCAGCTGAACTTGCAGTGTTTGATTCAATTTTTGAATTTCTCAAGCACTTATACATACATACCATGGTTACCTCAACACCCAGTGTCAGTGCTTCCACTTGGTAGGTAATTACTTTGTTCAACTATCAGCAAAAAGATAACTACTAAAGCTTGGTGAGTTGAAAGCCCTAACATTCAGGAAAACATTTCTAACTCTGTTGGAAGTTTCCTGTCCAATGCTTAGCATAGAATTCAATAAAGAAACTAGCAAAAAATTAACTTGCATTGGATGGGACATGATGCCATTCTCCTAAATTTATCAAGAAAAGCTTCAAGGAGTACTCAGACAACTTCTGCTTTAGATAAAGCTATTTAATTGATAGCTTACCACTCTTTGATTCTGTAGTATCCTTAAAATCAGAGTATAGGGCAACTTGATACCAGGGCAAGAACAGTCTATGGAGTGCAGCAAAAAGACAGTTAAGGTAGTTTTCATTAAGAGCAAATAATATTAAAGCTCCCAATAGACTGATTCAATCTGCTCAGGAGACAGCTTTGCAGTGCCAAAGAGACTGCTGCAGGTTACCAAGCTCTTTTCAAATTGCTCAAGTGGTACTTGAGTTTTGCAGTGAAGAACAGGCATGTATCCATGAGGAAGAGTCTTCCTCTGAGGAATGAAAGAGGGTGCTGTGCAGAGGAATGGATGATACCCGCTGAGGCATGCACGTGGCATATCAGACTCAAATAACTAAATAGCTTTTTGATTGCCTAAATATTTCATGTAGGCCAGTGCTTAAAATGCCCCCAGAACATTTTCTATAAGCCTAGTTGCTATTTGCTATTTTCTTAGTGTATTTTTACTGTCATTGCCAAGTTCCGTAACCGTGGGGCATGGCAGCTTCAGAAATAAGAAATAATGAGGTACAGCGCAGTCGGTGCCTTTGCAAAAAAATCACCACCATTACTAGTTAATGAAGACACACAGCTGCCAGCTCAGGGGATCAGCTCCAAGCATTTCCCCTGTACAATTATTAGAGAAGTAATCTTTAGTTGTCTATTGGAGATCTTTTCAAAAGTTTAAGAGCTACCACATTCTCAAACATTTACGAAACCTTCATTGGATAATTTAGGCAATTTAAATTCGACCTCATTTAATCCTGTCGCAATCAGACAGTCCTGAAGGTACAAGATATCTCCAACTTATTTTCACTCTCAACAGCCATTCCAGTTAAATGCAATTTCATGTTCAATTTACAACAAAGACAAAGCTAAGTTCTCAGCAAAGAGAAAATGAGAAAGAAAATCAGAGGGAAGACTAATTTTCAAGCTTTAAACAACAAGAAATTAAACTCACAGAAAATTTCAATCTCCTCTTTTAAAACAATGCTAACACTGAAATATTGCTAACAAAGGAATGCAAGGATATTAGATTCTACCAGCGCTGCCTTGCCTTGTTCCCACATATGGTAGTTTAGAAATGCTCCTGCAAGACAATACTTTTTCCTCTACAGAGACCAACTTCTCAGGCCTCTTCCCAAAAGGCTGAATACACAAATCAGCCAGAAAATTTCTCAAAGAGAAATCAAATCACATCTGCAACCAAGTAGAGGCATCTCACATTAAACAGACCATCCATCACCTACAATGTGTACAGCACGCAAGACTCGAAATTGGCAGAAAAAATAAACTTGCCGTGTCAGGCAATTCATGCTGCTTTGTGCTTAGCCACTCACAGAACCCAGAACTCATCCTGTCCCATTGCCTTCTTTGCAGAGATTTATTAAACCGTTAGGAGTACAAGTGGAGACATATGGAATTGCAGTTAAGATCAAGAAGGTTGTCTGTTTTGTGTTCTCTGAGTGCCAAAGCTGACCGAATGAGTTGATGCTTTGTTCCTATAGAGGCCTCTATGCAGAACAGAGGTGCTTCTAGGAGGTCAAGGGAGAGCAGTAGAAGGGCAGAGGGCTGTAGATTGTTTGGGAGAGACTATGCCAAGCAGAGGTGTTCAAGACACTTGTTGATGTGGCACTGAGGGACGTGGTTTAGAGGGCAATATTGGTGGCAGGTAGATGGTTGAACTTTATGATCCCAGAGGTCCTTTTCAACCTTAATGATTCAGTGATTCTAAGTGCCCTACTAGCAGCACATGGTAAAGAAAGGGTCAATACTGTGTATTTGCAATTGTATTATTGTACTTTAAACCACACAGAGCTATAAATAGGGTCATTACAATTTGCATGCCATGGTCACAACCTCCTGGGAGCCCCAACAGGTGTGCTGAAGGGCAGCAATTGCTATTTCCATGGCTAAGGACTGCATTAGATGCTGGGGAGGGTGGCTCAGTAACCCACAGTCATCCCTCTTGTCACAGAGCAGGAGATTCAATGCCACCTGGCTTAGTTCCCTAAGTAAAGCCCAGTTATGTGTCCTTTGAGCAGGAAGAGGTGGTTTTCTCACCAGGAGTTTCAAACACTTCTGTCATTTTCACATTCATCACACAAGAGGATTTAATCCTAGAACTCAATCATTCCCCTACCTACCCGTTACAAATACACCCTTTCAACACATTAGGCTTTTTACGTTATTGGCTTTCCCTTGGAGATATTTCAGATGCCACTGAAGGACTAAAAAAAGCCAATGATGTCACCTTTGTGTTCCCAAACCCATTAATGCTTGAGTGCTTTCCATATCATGCTTGGATGATTCTGCAACCACACATACTTTCAAGGGCACTCTGTAAGAAGTGGTTCTAATAGACTTTAACATGAAGCTCCATTAGTAAAATAAATAATATGGAAATATATATGAACTTTATAAAGAAATCAGGACAGAAAAGACAAGCGTTTGATGCAAGAAGGCAAAGCAGAGGTAGGTGATGCGATTAGCACATCCTCAGCATTTCAATGAAGTACCATCCTGTGCCTTGCTGTATCCACACACTGTTTGTAGCTGGCTGAAGGCAGATAATTTTGCTTTGCTTAATGCCAGCTGCCTCCTTCTTGCCCCAGTCTCACTAGAGAAGGCTGAATATAATTTGCATCACAACACTTCTAATAACAGAACACCCTCTCAGTGCATAAGGGAGAACACCTATAAGAGCTGTGAGGTGGTAGTCACTAGCAAAAATAAGTTCAGCAGATGCAAAGGAAAACAGTACTTCATATATGAATATATGTGCATAGAATTGTTTGAGTTGGAAGGAACCCTTGAAGGCCATCTACTCCAATACCCCTGCAATGAACAAGGACACCTACAGCTCCATCGGTGCTAAGAGCCCATCCAGCCTGATCTTGGGTGTCCCCAGGGCCAGGGCACCCACCACTTTCCTGGGCAGCCTTTGCCAGTGCCTCACTGCCTTTAAGGTTTGGGTGCTAGGAACCGAGCATTAAAGTTAACTTGGTTCCCCCACTTACAGACAGCTTAAATTAAGCATGATCCACATCCCTCAGCTACAGCAGCACGTCAGAAAAACATTCATTCCCAAAGGGAAGCTTGTCCCAGGCAACACAGTGAGCTCACCGTTGGGGCATAGCTGCACAAGTAGGCAACTGCAAAGGGCCCACGAACAGCCCAGAAGTCATCAGGCAAAAAAGAAGGGGATGAAAATTTAATGACTTCCCAGCCCTGTGCTTAAATAGTGCCCTTGGACCTACTGGCAGAGGCTGTGGGTGGAGGCCCCAGGTGAGGCTGGTCTGGGTGATTGAGATCAGGGCACTGTTACTGGGATCCTTTGCCATATAATTAAATACTCAGATCATAATACAGAGCAATGTTTTTTCTTACTGTCATTTCTGTGACTTGGTTGGAAAAAAAAAAAGAGTAATTCTCCAACATGCAAGTGAAATCCAAACTCATGCTCTCCTTTGCCTCCCGTAAAATAATTCACTATTAAATTGATCTCTGGAAGCACAATGGGCTTAATAGCGTAAATCTCTTATGTAACATTTCCCTTCATTACTCTTTAACAGCACTCAAGCTGAGAGTCTCAGCGCTTCCATTGCTTGCTCGCTCTCTCAAGAAGCAAGGCTGCGTAACTGGATTCCTGCAGAAATGAGGGAGCTATAAAGCCGTTCCTGGCAGGCAATTCCAGAGATGAGAAGTGCTGTCATTCTTTACTAACACAGAGCAAAGCAGATGATGTAATGCAGTTTGTAAAAGGCACAAGGGCAGAAGATTGATTAGAAGCATAGCTGAAAAAAAAAAACACCAGCCAATTGTCTTCCTCAGCACGGTGAACATTTCAGTTCCAGCTCCTTCTTTTGTCCCATGGTGCCTCGTTCTTGTTTCCTTTAATTATTTTTAAGTGAGTGGGGAGCCTTTCTGATCTCTTATATCAAATCAAATTTTGCCTTTTTCATCCCTTCCTGCACACAGGCACCACAGAACTGTGGCACAGGTACAGCACAGCAGAATCAGGCCCGTAATCTGCTACTTGTCAGAAGTCCAAAGCATATCTAAAAATAGGCACATTTATTTTAGAAGAAGGTATTATTCAGATTCATGGCTAATACTCAAACCTGAAAGCTAAAATGTTTCCTTCCATTCCCTCCTACACAAGCTTTCCTTTCCAAGGAGACCCCAAAACGCATATTCAAATAAGTATTTTATGACCGAGACTTTCAGTTCTTAACTGAACCTCATTTAATTGCTTAAAACTTTTAAGAGAAGCTTTTGGCAAGAACTTGGGAAAAAAACACCAAGCAAATTTTAAAGAGGTGGGATGCCAGGCTAAAGAGGATAAACAAAAATTCTTTGATTCCTAAATCTTCACTAATAGGATTTCCCATTTAAGTCCTTCTATATGTTCTTATTTTTAAAGCAGGAATTACACAACATGAAAGCAACACATGGTTAAGGCTGTTGTGGCGGTTCAATATTTTTATCAGTGACCCGTATTTCAGAGACAGCAGTTATGCAGAATGAGTTTCATTATAAGCTAATGAACATAGCATTGAAATGGCTCATTTGGATAAATCTTCCTAATTTATCCACATTTGGATAAATCTTCCTAATTTATCCATTGGCTGCAATGAGTTTTCAGAGTCTTAGCTGCAAAGAAAGGATATTTTTTTTAAGCAAGAGATTAAGATGCATGACCTTAAATAGAGCCCTCCCCTCTGGTTTTCTTCCAAAAGTATCTCAATTGCCTCTGTCATTAAGAACACAATACTGCTCTTTCTTGGGCTTTCCAATGAATATAGTTATGTTCCTGGGAAAATATGGAGAGAAAGAGCTAGGACAGTCAAATGGGATGAAAAGGAGAAAGGATTTTAAGCCTTAGGAAATGCCGTTCATTTTCTTTTAAGGTTTGTGTGCGCTGTATAAATAGCATAGGATTCTCTAGGAATATTACACAACAATTATACTGCAGGACTGCTGATTAAGACACATGGTGGAAGTTCCTGCACAGTGCTATTATTCAGACAAAAAAAACTCTAATCAATTTCTCATTTCCCTCCCATAAGTGTGACTCTAGAATAATTCCATTAAATCATTAGGGTTTTACACGCTGGCGCAGGCAATTAGGCTGGGAAGGGTTTTTGGACAGTGACTGTGTACTTTACATCCTGTGCCAACAGGACTTTTCAAAACCTAATACTTCAGTGGATAAGCATCAGATGCTGATCTGGTTAGAACAAAATGAGCCTAACACAACGCCACTGAAATCAAAAGACTGCTTACTACAGGCGTACACCTACAAGGATCACAGCAAAAAGTACACTCATATCAAGGCTGTCACTTTTCCTCGTTCGAAACTAGCGTTCCATCGATGCGTTTTGCTTCACATTTATGACAGAACTTGGATTCATACATCAGAGATATTAGAGAGGATTAATCCTTTGTGAGGTGATTTTTCATTTATGCTTAATCCTGAATGTGCTGAGACCTGTGCAAACTTTATGGGAAAACAGAGATCCTACCTGAAAGAACTGACAAACATGCATCATTTAAAAATATCTGCCCAGAGATGGTTGAAAGAAGTCACAGAACCTTAGGATCGTTAATGTTGGAAAAGACCACCAAGATCACCAAGTCCAACCCCCGCCCACCCCCCACCATGCCTGCAACCACGTCCCCCAGTGCCGCATCTCCACAGTTCTTGAACACCTCCAGGGATGGTGACTCCACCACTCCTTGTGCAGCCTGTGCCAATACCACTCTTTCTGAGAGGAAATTTTTCCTAATATCCAACCTGAACCTCCCTTGGTGCAACCTGAGGCCATTACCCCTTTATCCTAACTCATGTCTACCTGCAGGATGACTTTATGTACCAAGCTAAAAGCTGTGCATTATAAGTCTTACAAGAGAAGTGGGTGACGCTTGTGGGAATGCAAGTGTTGCTACGGAGCATGCTTCTCAGCTGTCCCTTCAATGAATGTCCCACACACTGGGGTTATGTGGGAGCCTGTTAAATGTTCAGGTTCTATGCACACACTTCACCGTGAGAAATCCCCATTTTGAATGAGAAGCTGTATAAAAGGCAAGGGTAGAAATTCTACAAAAGTCTTGCTGATCTGTAGAATAAAAGCTTAACTACTATGTCTGAGCACAGATGTCTCTGAACTCACTACATGAAGACAACCCTCAGGCTGTGACCCTCTTCAGAACATATCTCTTTGAACAAATTGCCCTTGACAGCATCTCTTTAGACTCTTATGATGCGTAACACTATTAAGACACAGTGATGTCTGAGGGATCCACAGCTCTGAACAGTCTGCAATGGTCTTATCATCCTCATGGCAATTGGTATTCTTTGGTCTGTCAGTGCCAACCTCAGTCCTTCCATCCCCATCCTCTCCTGAATGGCAGAGAAGTGTGCCGCATCAGCCAGATTTAGAATGCTTTCACTGTATTCCTTTTTGTGCTACACATACCCAGCTCAGTATACCATCGCAATAGTTTCCAACGGAAAGCTATACCTACTTCTCAACACAACAGTCTCAGAATTTACAAGCTAGCAAGCATTTTTCAACATGAATGAACCTTGAACTGAATCTTTTCTGTGCCAGGTTTTTTGCCATGCAAGTTTACAGCTGGGACAGAGACTGCGTGCAATAGCAGCTGAGTAAGATTTCAGCATCAGTGACTGCACTGCTGTTTCCAGACAGAATTCTATGGGAAGATGTTTCATCATTTTTAGAGGCCTTGGAAAATTTTTCAGACTACTCCACAATTTTCAGACTATGACAGCTAGCATTTACCATCCATGTTGTCGTCTTAACTTCGGGAGAAAAATGTTACTTCCACCAAAAGAGAAAATGTGGATTCAAATCTACATATCCAAGGGGAGAATTTGATGAGAAAACATTTTTGGCTCCGTGTCAGGTTTATTTTTCAATTAAAAAATGAGCTGCAAAATTATTTGATTTCCTAAGGAAACAAGGCATATGCAATTACCCACAGTAGGGGTGTTCTTTGTTTGTCCTCCTCTCACAGCTTTTGACTCCATTGGTCAGTTTTAGCCAAATTTTACAGATTTATTAACATTAGAGCCCTCACAAGTTCTGTGAAAATAAGCATGGAAGGACATCAACAACCAACAGCTCACCTATGGAGTAATTGCACAAATTTCTCTCTCTGTTCTTCAGGCACTTTCCAGCAATGCATCTATCTATAATTCTTCTCCTACTTGCTTATTTAACTTTGTATTTCCTCCTGTCTTTCCAAAATGCCCCTTCAGCTTTTTTTCCCATATAATTGCCAGTGCCCAAAGTGTCTTTCTTCTCTGGCTGCACTTTCCTGCCTTTAACCATCATTATCTCTCCATAAAATCCCTTCTTGCATTGCTTTTCAGAGCTGTCTAGTAGTGTTTAAAAGCAGGTGATGTTCTTTCTACTGACTTGGGCAGAGGGGCCATAAAGAATTGCTTTAGGGAAGAATCATGTTATGGATGAACTGCAGAACTGGGGACATGCCAAGAATTATTCTGGGACAAAAGATTTGGGGATAGGAGATTGCGGAACTCTTCCACAAAACTCTTAAAACTTTTGGTCAAACTTCTGTTTTGAAATGAAAAAACTGAAAAGTTTGATTTAAAAAATAACAGATTCAGGCTTTCCAAAAAAATGCACTGCATTGAGTTGGGTGGAAGAGAGGTGGAAGAGAATGATTCATTGAATTTTATCAGAATCTACAAACCATTTTGGTTTTGTTTGAGACCTCCAAATTCTCTTTTTTCCTTTTGCCATTTCTTCTTGGCATGGGGCATGTTAGCTTCCCACTGTTCACCTGTGAAATGATGCTGTCAGGGCTTCCCTACTCATAAAATTTATTATTATATATAGTTCCCATCAGCACTCCAAAGAAAAGTAGTTTAAAAACAAAGTACCTTTCTTATGTTAATTCAGAACACTAAGCATTATTCACTTATTTTAATCCTCAAGCATTAAGGAAGGAAGAAATTATGTAGGGAAGTAATAGATCCCAAAAAATACCACCCATTTAATCCAACATACTTTGTCCTACAAAGCAAAGGGTGAGATATTTTTCTTCACAGAAGCAAATTGCTGGAAAAAAGACAAAGTCATGGTGCTATCTGTTAAAAATCTCTTTCCTCTTACCCAAGACATAAATCTCACTGTTGACCACGGCTGTGCTGAAGCGGTACTTGGAGTACTTCATTGGTGCACACTCTGCCCATTTGTCTCGGCCCGGGTCATACTGAAACATTCTGTTACTTAATCGATCCGGCTCATCGTCAGGCAGATCCATCTGTATGAAATATGACAGCCATATAATAATACCACATTTGGAGCCCTCCGCACATGCCTGCGTGCAATTAATCACAGCAGGCAGAGGAGCAGATAAATAACATAAACACATCAATTACAGCTGTGAAGCGTTGCGCGTGCAGGATGGTTTAACAGCAGCCCTGACTTGTGGCTGGCAGTACGCTGTGGAAGGCAAATGAATAGCTGAGAGTTTCTATTCTGTAGCAATAAAGCTAAGGAGCTGAGTAATAACAATACATTCATTGGGCCCAACTCTGGCCCCTTCTTTTACAAGGCTCCTATGAAGTACTACTAATAATAGAGGGAAAAGGTTGCTTTATCTTTTCTCCTGCTAATGGTTGAATTTCCACTTTCACTGTTATTCAGGCCATACGCAGTATGCTTTGGCTGCATGCAGTAGGCTTTGCGGTGAGAATTCTGAAACTTTCCAGGATAAAAGTTTTCATGTAGAGAGGAGAGGACTACTTTGCTTACTTGTAAAGCTGCTTTAAGTGCCCTTGCTTTGCTTGTTCTTTTACACTCCAAAAATACATTTCTAGCACTGATGGAAATGGTTTAGTGGGAAGCAGTTAGTGGGCAATATTGGTGGTAAGTGGACAATTGGACTAGATGATTTTAGATGTCTTTCCAACCTTAATGATACTGTGATTCTATGATATAACGTACAAGATAGTAGAAGTCAAACTAACAGGCAATATATAACCTCTTTATTACTCCATTAGAGTGCCCAGGGACACATTTTTCTCCATGATAGGTGTGAAATACTGATTTATTCACTGAGAAAGAAGTAAACTGTATTTTCAATACAGAGTGAGCATATACTTAAGAGCAGACACCATCTGACATGCTCTAAATTCACATCCTACGTCACTTCTGCAGTGACACACATGACAATTTGCTGTTACAAAGCTGTAGTATTGAGGCAATTAGCATTAGTCCACTCAGCTCCAGACTGCTTTGTATGAACTCACGCTCACATGCTGTTAGTGTACACGTGCTGATTGTCAGGTATGAATTTTAAGCATTCCCCAGGTGATTTTTTAAAGCTAACATTGGGTTAGTGTTTGTAGTTTGTGCACCTAAACCATTTTCTCCCTTTTCAATCTGTTCTGGAGATCTGTTAAGACAAACAAAGCTGGATCTCACTTCCACATTTGTATCTGTTATATCTTCCAGTTCAAATATTCTTTCTTTCTTTTTTAGTGGACAGATTGTTTCTACATTAAACCTGTTCTCATCATTTACTTCTTTAAACAGCAAGGTGTCCTTGCTCTGTTGTTTTAGTATGGGAAAGGCTCTCTGATCTTTCCGTTGTCTCCTTTGGGGACTTCAGCACTGTAAATATCCAAAGAGCTGGAAATCCTGTTTGCTGAATACATCTCATCTAAGCACTTCAAACAGTAATGTATTTCAAGTGATCACAAACCAATGAGATGTGACGACAGTCTGAAAATATTATAGTTGGCAGTAACAATTACAGGTGCTCTACACCACTGTCAAATACATGGTTTTTATTTTTTCTTAAATGCCCAAAACTAAGCTGCACTGAGCAGTAAATAAGAATTAATTAAACTCTTAAAAAGCATCTTTCACACTGGGAACGACTGGAGAGAGCCATGGAGCTGCGAGATGTGGTTCAGTGCTAGTGGTAGCAATGGTAATGAGGGTTATACTAGATGATCTTATAGGTCGTTTCCAACCTTGTGATTCTATGATTCTGCCTCGTAGCATAATTCTGTGTATTACCTGTTCTACTGAAAATGGCATCTGTGGCCCTACTGAAAACTGTTAAAGCATCATACGGCCAAGCAACGCAATTGAAACAAAAAATGAGTGGATTACAGGAATCTCTTTTCCAGAGAATGGCTCAACTTTTCATTTAAAATACAATAAAAACCAAATAAATTAAGGAGCTCTGTATTGTTTAAAGAACATTACTTACTGATACACAGCAAAATTAAAAGGACAGTGTATAGGAAGAGGAAAGACTGCAGTTAATCAATTTTTCAGTCTGTAATGACAAAAAAAAAAAAGCCAAATAGGCATTTGATATGACAAGAGGAAATGGCTTCAAATTAAAAGAGTGGAGATTTAGACAGGATCTAAGGAAGTGTTAGTTTTTTTGTTGTTGTTGTTGTTGTTGTTGTTGTTGTTGTTGTTGTTCAGAGGGGGATGGAGAGGGGAGGTGTTATTTGTTTGCTTGTTGTTGTTGTTTTTAAACAATCTTTTTGAAATCTTGCTCACTGAGCATGTCTTCATGAATGAACTACCCTTCTTGAAGTTGGTATTTTCAGTGAGGATGACTTAATATGAATATTATTCCTTTTTACCCTGTTTGGTTTTCCTAGAAAAGATGTCAAACAATGTGAGCAACTTATTTTCCCATGCAAGCAGCACCATAAAATTGCACAACGTAAAAAGCAAACATTTTCCTGACACATGATGGGCACTTTTCTCAACCTGTGGTGTCCAGCCACCCAGCACGTAGAGCTTGTTCTTCATTGTCACCACTGCATGGCAGGCTAATGGCACTGGCAGAGGTGCTGTGGTTCTCCAGGTACCTTGCTCCATGGAGTACTTCTCCATGCAGTTTGTGACCACATATTGATTTTTGATTTTCATTTGCCCTCCGATCACATAGAGATCATTATGGACAGTGCCCAGTGCATAGAGTTCACGGAACTGAGCGGTGCACAGGCTGTGCCAAAACTGATTTCCTCGCTGGTGGTATCTGTAGGGAAATTCAAAGCTGTAAATGCCGTGGTTCAGTGTGGTCTCATATGATTATTTATAAATGTTATCCCCTTCATCTTCAATGATTATTCAGTGACGCGATGACAAGAGGAGCTTTCTCCTTCATAGACAGTTTATACAATTGGCCTCATTGTTTGCAAGATCAAGCATTTTTAGAATTAGGTGTCCCGATTTCAAGCATTCTTTCAAAGATATTTGACTCTTTTTTTCTGCATGTGCTGTTCAGTAACTGCTCCCCACTGAAGTTAGTGGGAAGAGCAGAAGTTCAGCACAGCTGAAAATAGAGCTACTTTATCTGACCTGTGGGGATTTACTTCTTTAAATTCAGGTACCTGCGTTTGAAAAGAAAAGTTATTTTTAATTTTCTCTTTAATCCAGAAAAGCTATGGCTGTCTTTAAAAGGGGCTCATCTGAAAAAGACTTGAGTAAAATAGAAGGAGATTAAAATTATCAGTCTATCTTTTCATCTCTGAGCATCAACATGGATTTCTCAGATAAGACTGTTACCTCTCCCCTTCTGGATTCCTTAGGTCATTCACTTGACACATTTACCCCCACTATGGACCTAAAAAAGAGAACCTTAGTAATACGTGGAGCTTTGTACTGGGAGAATATAGAATCCACATACAACAAAGCAGGTTCTAATCAAGCTTATTTACACAAAGATTCCACTGTGTAAACCTTCCTTCTTTCAGGAGAAAAAGCACAAGGGTTTGGTTTTAGATATATGATTCCTTGTACTGTGAAGATCAATTGTGACAAACTGATTAGAGCAGTTGAAATCTCTGGGATAACTCTCAGGTAAAGAACGCTTTGTGTAATGGTCTTTTCTTGATCTCAGAAACATTTTTTGGACTTAAAATTTGTAAATAATCAGGGAATTTCTGACAGGGTACACACCTATAAATTTCAATGTTCCTGTTTTTTTGTCTAGACATTTTGGCGGCGCTTGCCTCTCCTGCCACAATAATATCATTATTCTCAGTGACAACACCACTGCAAACACTTCCTAAACCCTCTCCATACTTTGGAGAGGAAATGAAGTAAGTCTTTTGTGTTGCAGGAGCGTAGCAGAAACTGGCATCTGCATAGCTCCCATGTCTTGACCTAATGCCAAGTGAATTGTTGCCGATGCAGAGTAAGAGATCAGTAGTCTCCATGCCATATCTCAAGCTGAGAGAAGGGTGGGTGGCTAGTTTGATGCTTTTCAACGCTTCCTCAAACATATCATTGCATTCTGAATTGCACAGAATCACTGTGTTCCTTTTGCGGGCTTCCATGAGAAAGGAAGGGCTGACCAGTACCAGTCTCACTTCCTTCAAGAGCTTGATAAGATGTTCTGCACGCGACTTTCTGTTGTGATTCACCCATCTAATGACAAGGTCCAGAATGCTTTCCTCCCTGGAAACATTCAGATCATCTGATTTTATAAGAGTCAACAGCTGCTGGACTTCTATCTCCAATATTTCTTCCTGTAAGCTCACCTCAGCAAAGTGCTGATATAAGTACCTCTTCGCTTGATCACATAAATCTTCTGCTCCAATATGGTTTGCAAAGTAGTAGATGCCCACACAATTGGAAGCATCCATGTGGTCCATCATGTACTTTTGACACAAGCTGAAAACATCTTCCATCTGCATGAAATACGAAGCCAGAGCAACAGTCTGCACATTCTGGTTAGTGAGGTGCAAATCCGCGCTGTACATGTAATTGAGGATTACAGACACGCTCTCTGCTGACATGTCATACAGTACCACTTCTCTTTGAGTGCATTCAACCAACCCACAGGTAAACATGGCTTTGAAGTAAGAACTGAAGGCAGCTAGTACCACCTTATGGCAGGGAAATTTCTGACCTTCGGCCACTAGCACAACATCAACTATCTCTGATGATTCTTTCATTCTTTTTAGTTGTTCCAGTAAGGTCAAGCTATGGCGTTGCTTTCTTTTCTCCTCAGTCCTATGATCCATGATTAATCGCCAAACTTTCTCTTTTTAGATCTCCTTGGAATTCAAGGTCTTCATCCAGAATGTTTCTAGAGATAGAAGAGTAATATGGTTCAATAAGAAGAAATCACTAGGCAAATTAATACTGCTGCTCATTTCTAAAGATAAATCATTCTGTAGAGGGTGCCATAAACTAGTAATATATGAATAGTATGTAAAATTATGCTAAGAATTCATGATGAAGATCTCCAGACTTTAAAAAATAATAATAATAAGCACTCCAAATGATCATTAATATTCCATTTAATATTCAATACCTCCCCAAGAGTTTTGTGATTAATCAAAGAAAATTTCCCTTCAAAATGATCTTTTCCAGCCACCTTTTCCTTCTTCCTCTTTTCCTCTTTTATTAAAATCAAGTGGAAGATTTCCACTTTAATAAACTCAAGGTCGGGGTGCAACTTACTGGGATATTCAAGTTTTGTCTTTCATATGCACCCAAAGGAAATTAGTCAGTGCTTCAGTGCTGAAACACCCTGTATTCTCAACTTCTCCCTTAGGTTGGGCAGTGGGATGGAGCAATGCCTTTTCAGGTGAACAGATCCATTCAGACTAGGAGTTTTGTCCAGAGAGACAGACTTCAAGACTTTCACAAGACTAAAAAAAAAAGAAAAAAAAACATCAGACTTGCTTCTCTCATTACTTTTTACAGTGACCTACACCCCTGCAAAGCATTGGGAAATAAAACCACTGGTGCAACCCAGTTCCCTGGCAATCTGTAGAAGGATTTGGGGCCCTTCAGTGAACCTCATGAGTTTTCAGATTACCCAGAATGTGAGGTGTAGTGGAAAAGCTGTCAATAGGAGAATAAAGCCTACCCATCACTTAAGGGATATCAGTCCCTTGCAGTTTTTGCCTCTAATGTGGTAATGAGACAGTTCTGTGGCAGAAATGCATTAAGGAATCATGTCATGAATCACCGATGCCCAGACAAGTCCTAAAGCTATAGTATAACCATGTTTGAAACACATTTGTAGCATGGTATGAATTGCTTAATGAGACTACTCAAATGAGTAACATTCCTCACTAGCTTAAAATTTGCAGCATCAGGATCTGGTACGACAGATTGAGCTTGCTTTCTCTAATCTGGAAAGCATAAAATAGTCTGTTTCATTAAAGAAGTCTGAATCAACATAGAAAATGATTATATGAAATTCTTTGACATCTGATTTTTCTACAGAATTAGACCAAAAGAATTTAAATATTACAGTTACTTCTAAAGAGGAAGAGGATAACTGCAGCTATACTGTACATTTCAGTCCTACTCTTTCAGCTGTCCAGTTGTTTTTGGAAGTGGTCATCATTCTATTTTAGCAAATTGAATAGATTCCTCACATTGAGTGCTAAACTAAAAGCCTCACATTTCCTTAATTTTTATCAATTCTTTCCATATTCTAAATTTGGAACTAGAAGCAACACATTTGAGACATGAGTCTGGGTTATCAGATTTTTAAAAATGGATTTGGAAGACAAAACACTAATTTCACAATATGAACATGGGCCAGGCTCTGAGCTCTTACAGTAATATCTAAAATCAATAAAAGATAATAAATTTTGCACAAAAAATAATGTTGAATGTAGATCTTTTTTTTTCCTGCTACACTAAAATGAAATTCAAGAAACCTTAGGTCTTAGCTCTTCATCTACCTATGGAGCAGTCTTTACATTCAACAAAAGCCTTTTTTGAAACAGATGTTCTTTTCTTAATCCTTTGTGGTAATTAGATGGCCAATTGTTGTTTTCCCCTCTAGCTATTTTATTACTTTATAATGTTTGGTTTTCACTGCATTTTGATAAAGGGATTACTCCATGACTGAAAGATCGTGTTATGAGTACACATATCTCAAGCAGCTGAGCTGTACTGCCATTCACCGGGCTGCTCATTCTCCAGCTTGATGAAAGTGTTCCCTACAAATAAGGCCTCAGTCAAGTTCAACAGTCTGAAATAACCAAGCTTCTTTCTCCAAAATGATCGACTTCTCTGCTTTTCTTTTTGATCCTGTAACTTCACACATCCCCTACCTTCCCTGTAATGGACAAAATGTGCATTTCCAGTGTGAAGAACAAGTGAGATGATTAATCAGCACCATCTTTTTCAGACTTTTATACATATCAGGAAGCATGTGTAGAACTGAGTTATGACTTCATTTCCTTTGCTGGCCACCTTGAAGTTTTCTTTCACCATTAATTTAGCATTCTTAAGAGTAACGCTGTCTTTGATTACACAGTTCAGCAGATTTGCAAATTCCATGTGCTCATTTAGAAGCGATTTGGATGTTCGACAGTGAATGCTCACAGCCATCTCTTTCTAAGGTGTGAGCAGTACAGCACAGTTGACTGTTCACATACAATTCTGGGTACTAATTATGCGATCATTATATGTGATATGTGATATGTGATTCATAAAAATCACAGAATCATTTCAGTTGGAAGAGAATCTTAAAAGTCATCAGGTCCAGCCTACCTGCAATGAACAGAGACCCCACAGCTCCACTAGGTGCTCAGAGCTCATCCAGCCTGACCTTGGGTGTCTCCAGTGACAGGGCACCCACCACCTCTCTGGGCAGCCTGTGCCTCACTATCCTTATAGTAAAAACCTTCTTCCTTATTTCCAGTCTAAATCTTCCCTCTTCTCATTTGAAACCATTTTCCCTCATCCTACCACAACAGACCCTCCTAAAGAGTCTGTTCCTTTCTTCTTACAGTGATGGAGATAGCCTACATCCATCACTCAAGTTGGACCAGATAGCCTTTACAGGTCTCTTCCATCTCAAATGATTCTGTGATTCTATAAACCCTTTCATTAACCAGAATTTCATCCCCTACATTAGCTACAAACTTGTCACTCCTTTCCTGGCTTTTAGCAGTGTTTAGGTGAGGTCATTGGGAAGGATATTAATATTCTCCCATGTATCACTGGGAAGACTATTAAAGGGTAATAATGAAATGAAGCTGCTTTGCTTTCCCCTCTGGGTTACAGAGGAAAAAGAAGGTACACTGATATTAAAAAAAGGATAAATGTGATACAAACACAATTTGCAGTGAGACACTGTACTGAGATCATGCCAGAGGCTGGGATGTCATTACTAAGCCCCACACAAGGCTTAAATCCTTTGTAATGCTATCAAGAACTAGAGTTAGAATTTCAGGGTATTTCTTTCTTGCAGTGTGAAAAATGGATTCAGGTACAAATCTTCCATTGATGTTACTTCATCTCAGAGCAGCACTGTTAATTTTCCTCCACTTCTGGCTGCTACTTTTATTTACATGTTAGCTGTTTTGTTAGTTTAATTTTGCTTTTTTTTTTTTTTTTTTTTAAACTTTGTGTCATGAACCTTACAAAGAGCCACACTTAATGTTACACCAGAGCTACAGCACATGTTTTACCAGCAGTGGGGTGCTGCTTAAAACATAAATAAGTGCACTGCTGCGAGCTCAGCTCTCCAGCTTTTATGATCCAACTATAAATAAATGCTGTCCTCAATTCTCAGTTACACTGCAGCCTCTTTGAACTGCCCCAGCGCAAAGGGACTGCGAACCAGATGGAAACGTCTCATCAGGAATTTCCCTTAACCCCAGGAAAAAAAAGGCAGCCTTGTAATTAGAGACATTATTTCAGTCTGGGACATGGGTTTTCCTTGCCTCTCCCCATGTCCCCGGGAATTTGCATGTTCCTGTGCCATGGCAGGAGGCTGGGAGCTGCAGGACCCAGCCCCAAAGAGGTCACAGCGCCCAGCATGGGTCATCCCTGCCTCCTCCTCTTCCTCCTCGCCTTGTTTTCATTATTCTCCACTTTAATGAGGCTACCCTTCTTCAGCCCACATCCCTTCAGGTGCTGAGCGGATCAGAGTTCAATCACATCAAAGCAGCAATGCCTCTGCCTATGAATTATTTGTGCTTCCATTGTTATCAGTAAGCCAGGGAGTAAATCTGCTAATTGTGTGCATGATGACATTTGGCTGACAGCCACGGCCAGGCAGAAATCAACACCCAGATGATAATCGCATTATAATCCGGGTGGTTAATTGCACAGTGCTGGCATTTAAGATGTGGATTTTAAACCTCACCCCAGTACTGGGGAAGAGCAAATAATAATGCTAATCTTGATACAGGGAAAATATATCACAAGAATAAGCAAAAGAAAGGAATCTTCCAGGGAATTATAGACTAATTTAACTAATTCTTGGAAAGATGCTGGGAGAAATTAAATTATAAGAACTCAGGGGGCAATAAGGTGATAATTTATTCTTGGTAGGTGCTGTAGCTGCTGTCAATCCATTTTTTTTTTTTTTTTCCAGGGCTAATAGGAGATAAATTAGATACTTCATCCTACATGAAATAATACTATGATCTCATATGATATCATTAAATCAATGGATTAAATGAAATCAGTTAGTGGGCACCATTGATGGTAAAGTGGTTGGTTGAACTCAATAAAATCAATGATTTTAGAGATCTTCTCCAACCTTAATAATTCTATGATTCTGTCACTCAGGTGCTTGAATGGCTGAAAAAGCACCTCAAATAACAGTTATCCGTGATCAAACCAGGAAGCACTGCTGGTCTGCAGGTAGAGCTGTTCCCTGAAACCATAGGTCACCTTTCAGGACATTTCTTGCTTTGATTTATATATTATTTCTTCAACAATTTTCATCCATTCTGGCAAGATAAAATATAGAAAGAGAAGTGCAGAAGAGTGGAAGAGCACTTAAGTGGGAGAGCATCCAACTCTTTTTATAGAATTTATGTCTATGTGGTTTGACAGGGGATACAGATAAATGTTTCTAATAAACGGTTCCCTGTGACAATTAGACATTTGGTGTTTGGGTGTATCTCATCCACCACCATAAATCTCACTTCTCTCAAGTTTTCAGCATTCTACCGGTTGCTAAGTACTTAGAGATTTGGGTTTCTTAGGTTTTCAGAAGCACCAAAGTTAAAATTACACCTTCTAATTAAGGTCACTGTGTAATTTTGGAACTGCAGAGTCTGCACTGCTTTCCACAGTAGAACTCCAACCCCAACGTGCTTTAGAAGATTTCCCAGGGGACACGGTCACTGAAACCAGAACAGGAACTTTCCTTGCTCAGCGCTGTCAATCTCCCTGGATCAGCCCTGCAGATGTTTTTCAGGTGATCTGAACCAGCCTACTGAGCAGCCTGGTCTAGAGGGAGATGTCCCTGCCTATAGCAGGGGGATTGGAACCAGATGATCTTACAGGTCCCTTCCAACCCAAGCCATTCTATGAGTCCATAATTGCTGGAAAGGATGGAGGAACTGCAAGGTTTTTAAAAGTGAATGCTGCAAATGTACAGCAGTACATCTGAGAGTGATGCCAACTATTTTTCTCCTTCCAAACCTGTGGCACCTTATTTATTCCCACGCGCCATCTGACACCAAGGAGCTGAGCCAAGGTCCCCAGAAGTCTCCTGACAGCTGGTTCCTCCTGTCTGTGAGAGCTTTGCTACCAGGTTATGGCCCAGCTTCTTCCACACACCTAGCAGTGAGATTTAAGCAGCCTGAAAATCTGCTGAAACTGATTTGGGATGCACTTAACTATGAGAGACCTGGAGCTGTTTTAATCACCTTTCAAAGAACTTGAGTAGTTGGTGATTCTGGAAAGGTCCGACAATTTGAGCTCTGTTTACAGCCAAGGCAGAGTCTAGATGTGGCACTGATTAATATTGATCCCATCTCAGCACACGAGACTTTTTTCTTTCTTTAAGCTAATAAAGAAAGATTTCATGGGCCACATTTTCAAATAAGCCCTCACCTTACTCTTGGTCCAGTTCAAAGCTCCATGGAGTCAGTCAAAAGAATCCCACAACACAAGTAGGAAATGCACATGGCTGTTCACAATCACTTCCCTGTAAACAATCCCCACTCTTAGCAATGATGTGCACTAATTGCACAAGAATAGAACCTAAGCTCACATATGCAGAGCCCATTTCTTTCACAGTTCACATGTGCAGATCATTTTCTGACATATCAAAACTAATTGAAATGGCAAAGTGCTCCTCACAGTAGGAGGACGCACAAGTTTTCTGCATATCCAACGATAGATGCCAGCAGAAGGAAAATGTGTTTCTGAGATGTAGTTCATTAGCTCTCTCAGCAGCCTGGCAGAGGTCAGAGAAGTTTCTCATTTCATTTCTTTCTAACCATACTGCAGAGTACAGGAAAGATTTTCTTTCTGGAACAATTACATCATATTGTGCTTTTATAGACTGAACTATATCACAATTAAAATAAATAATTTAACAATTAGCTGCAGACCAAACTCTATTTGCATGTTTACAGCAGAAAAGATTGCAAACTGTAATTGCCTATATTTATATAAAACTCTGAAGTATGTATCCTTTTGGTTAGCAAATGGTGGTATGCAGACCTCGGTGTGCCAGCAAAATTAAAATAAATTGCATGATGCAAACCCTTAGAACTTAACATTAGTTCCAGTTTTAAACCAGCCCTCACCACAAACTTAATCTAGTTTCAATTCCAAGCAAGTATTCAGGTACGCCCATCCACACAAAAGAGAAACTTCCCAGCAAAGCCATGCAGCACAACCAACACAGCCCCAGCACTCACACATCTGCAACAAATCTGTACACCTCATACGAAACATTTTCAACTTCTGATAGTAAGGAGCAGCCCCAGGCACACAGGGATACCCAGATGGGAGCAAAGCAGTGCCTGCAGTCTTGTGGGTCCCCCAAGACACGCATCCAACATCCCAAAGCAGCCCTACTGTCTCCTCCCAGCTGAGCTCCAAGAAGGAATTCAGCACGTACCTTTGTGAGCAGGTGCCTGTGGGGCTGTGTGGGAGAGACAGGGCTCGAAAAGGAGGGAAACAAATCTCACGTCACAGCAGAGAGCTGCTGTGTGCACTCAAGTGCTGGGGCTATGAATAGAGCTGGGCTCCTGGCTGGAACATGGCGCTGCTCAGGTGTCAGGCACAGGGCCACGTCAGGACAGCTGGCACTGGGGCTGCTCTCCTTCCCCTGTACCAGGGAAGGATATGCGATTGCTGGTTCAAGCCATTCAAGCTGGGCTCAGAACCAAGACTGCTATCTCTACAGGCAGGCATTGCCCAAAACTTCTGCTTTTCCACACCTTAAGAGCCGAAACTGTAAAATGACATTTTTTAAGGGAACAAGGGGGGGACAACAGGACAGGGAGGAATGGTTTCAATGGTTTATAAGGGAGATTTAGACTGGATATAAGAAAGGCTTTTTACAATAAGAGTGGTGAGGCACTGCCATAGGCTGCCCAAAGAGGCTATACTTTTAACTGAGAAAGACACTAAATTTTCAGAATGCTCTTTTTCAAGTGGTATTAATTTATTTATTCACTGAATAAATTGTTTGATTGATCATATTAGCTTTTGAGAAAATTCAAAATGACATGTCTCTCCTTATCTAGATTTTTTGTCAGATGGTTATACTGTGAGGTTTTTTCAAAAGTGGTGAGGCTTGTGTTCAGGAATGTTCAATAGTCAATAGCAAATCATTGTTTTTAGGAGAAAATTAAGATGTACATCTTCTTGAAAAGCAGATTTCATATAATTTGTGGACAAAACTAAGGAAAAAAAAAAAAAGAAAGTGATGAAAGTTTACTCGTGACAGGAAATGCGAGAGACCAGATTACAAAGAAGTCTGTGGTCTGAACTCCCAGATTGTTCCTATTAAAGAGCAGCTTTATCTTAGAAATATAAGACACCCCAAGAAATATAAATACCCAACCCCATACTGTAGCTTTCACAAAAACCAGGATGGAACAGCAAACTGATGAAATGCCACCACTATGATAAAAATGAACCACATCCCCTAAAACGCCTTGTTCTCCTGTTACATGCAACAGCTTATAGCACCATGTTGGTTAACACTGAGCACGTATGTAATACATTTTATTTATAGGAAACCACTCTGCTACCATAATAATAAACACATTTCTTTGCTGAGTATATTTCTTTAGCTAATTCATAGAAAGAGTCCATCCCACAAAAATGCTAGCTGGCACTTTTAAGACAAATTCCTTTCTATTGCTCTCAAAACTCCAAATATCCCCTGAATCCCTGCCTCCTCTAGGGCAGGCAGTACTTTCTGATAGCACAGGTGGAGCAATCCAGCAGTGAACAGGGCTCAGGCTAGGTCAGCTGGAATTCAAAGCTTTCTCTGCTTTCCACTTCCTCCGTGTAATTAAGCCATAATCCTTTCACTCTGATATCATTATCTGTTGTCATGGCGATTTTAATTACGAAAATGAATGGCTAACAAGTAGGCAAAGACAAAAGTTTTTGCTGAACAAGGCTAAGTTAAGAGCAAGTGGAAAAACGTCTGTGGCACTACAACAAATGCGTGATCTTTTAACAGCAAGCTGTAAAACAATTAGGAGTAGGTGGGAGAGGCATTTGATGCAAATATTTCAGTGTTTTGGAAATATGTGTTGAACTTAATGTCTTAGAAAGAATTTTTGCCTGGCACCAACCATATAATGCCTTCTGTCACCGTGTGGAAGAAAATCCCTCTCTGAATCTCAGCTTCTCATTATTATCATTGAATGGAATCATAGAATGGCTTCGGTTGGAGAGGACCTTGAAGATCATGCATTTTCAACCCTTCAGCTGCCAACCACCAGCTCAGGCTGCCCTGGAAATTAACCTACTGGATAAATACCGCATTCCTAAGCAAGAGTCCCACCAGTTCCCAAGAGTGTGCTTTGCCTAGGAAAGATTTAAGATTACGACCTCAATTGAAGTTAGCAACCCCACTCTCACGGGCCATGGTTCTGCAGTTTTGCTCTTTGTCAACAGATGCACAGTTGTACAGAGATGCTTCACGAAGCAGTGGTACAAAAGCATAGCTCATACATAGCACACTGGCTGGCAGGGGCTGCAGTATGTGTAGGCTCTGGACCTCACCACACTGGGTGCTCTGCAAGTGGAGGTTGCTGTATTCATCATAGAACGGCTTTGCTTGAAGGGAACTTTTAATGATCATTGAGCTCCAGCCCCCCGCTGAGGGCAGAACTGACAACCAGTAAGTAGATCAGGCTGCCCCATCCAACCTGGCTTTGAATACCTCCAGAAATGGAGCATCACAGCTTCTCTAGTTACGTTAGAACTAAGCTATGATATTTTGGTAGTTGTATCTCCAAATACAGCACCAGTTCAAATATGAGAAAACAGAAACAGGGAAATTTACTTGACCAGGGAACCCAGCTTAATCCTATTATCTCTTATTTCACTCTGAACAAAACATTGATCTTTTTTCCTTAGGAAAAGTGCTGACCTTTAGCACAGGGCAAGGGCAACCCAGACATGCCAGTGTCCAACCATCCAAGGAGCAGCACCCCTGCAGTCCCCTGCATTGAAATCTCTTCCTGGCTCTGCTGACCTGATTCCCAGGTTGCCTCATGGATAATGTGGCATGCCAGCCACCCGCTGCTTTCTCATTTAAATAAATGAGAAAGTTGAGGCTAAATTAACACTCCAGCAGAGGTAATAAGGGCCAACTCAGCAGCTGCCGTGATGTATGCAAATTGCAGTTTTACACATTAGGAGCTAGATGTTGCTTAATTTGTAAGTCTTTCTGTCTTGGATATTAAAGAGCCTTTGTCAAATTCAGGCAATCTGAAAAAATAAAAGCAAAAAAGGGCCACAGAGAGCCCCCAAAGTCAGCTGTTCACCAGCAGCTACCCTCTTCCTTCAGAGATTTCCCTCCTGATCCCTTGACATGCATTTATTACTGAGTTGCACTGCACTGCCTGATGCCTTTAGGCAAGGATCTGCTGATTTCCAGCAAACACACTGCCTGATTGAGGAGGCACCAAGAGCCCTTTAGTACGAACAGAAACCAAGATTTTTTTCTACGTTTTCCCCCTCCAGTTTTGCCACCATTCAGGGGCTTAACATCCACCAGGTTTCTTTCTCTGGGAATGAAACTGTAGCAGAGCAAAGGGAGGCCTGCCATAGCAGCCAGTTAATCAGGCAGAAGGAAAGGGCAGATAGGAGAGAATTTGTCCTCCTTTTAGATCCATAGAGATAGCAATGGAGGTGGTAAAGAAACACACAGCTTGCTGCTTTTTTTTTTTTAATACACAAAGTTGTTCTGGACATTATTATTAATGCGTTTAATAAAATATAAATAATATGTGCCAGGGTCAAAAAATACTTCTAAGTGGAGATGGTAGCACGATGGAAAGCACAGCAATAACATTAGAGCTGCAACTGAGGGTTTGCTCAAATGCAAAAAGCCAGGTGCACAGAAATAAAGGAAAGAAGCTGCTTACCTTCAAAAGACCTGAGATACGCAGGAATCTCCAGCAAGATATCATTGCTTCCATTACCAACTTTTAAATGAGGTCTGGGAAGGGGTGGATCGTGGCTCCACCCTTTCAGGTCACTCAGGTGCATTGCACTGCATGTAGCTGAACTCCACTGGGTTGGTCCTGCCTTCCCACCAGGTGCTCAATCACTGCTTCAAGCCATGACTTAGCATTTCCACTCCAGAAACCACAACTGAAAGTTACACACAGAAGTACATACTCAAAACAGCAGAACTTGAAGCCATTATGGCCACATTAAAAGAAAAAAACCTGTAATGTTCCTCAGGTTTGCATATTCTGTTAGTAGAAAAACACTGTGAATCACACTTCGTCACTTGGTACAAACCCCTGCCATTCTCTTGGTCTTCATCCCTCACCACCAAAGCAGGATGATGATGATGATGGTTTCCTACCAGCTGGAGAGATTAATTCACTAAGCTGCAGGGTCCCTGTGCAAACAGAGCAAATTAAGACACACATACAGTTTTGCATATTCCAGTAAACTCTGCATTTACTGCAGTCCTATAATGAACACAAAACTGTGCTAAAAAAAAAAAATAAATAAAAATGAATGAAAAGCCTTTTCTTCAGTAGTAGCAAAAGAATTACCAAAACACAAAGCCAAGTGTACGTTACTTTTTTGACAAAGCAAGGCAATAACTCAGATATACAGACTCCTCCTATCACAAGCAGGAGACATTTGTCTCTTAAATATCACAAAGATGCTGCTTTATAGATGCCCAGACTCAAGCATCCTGCTGCAGATTGCTCTTCTCAACTATTCCCCCCTGCTCCAGCTAAAATTGATATTTGTAGAGTAGTGCTAGAGTTCCAACTCACACAATTAAACTATGTGCTAAAGGCAAGTGATCTGAAATACCCATTCATTCATTCATTCATTCATTCATCCATCCATCCATCCATTCATTCATTCATTCATTCATTCATTCATTCATTCATTCATTCTTCCTTCCTTCCTTCCTTCCTTCCATTCATCCACATTGAGGTGAAAGGAAGACTATCTAGCCAGGTACTATATATTCTCTTTCATCCCAAAGGTTGAGTCACCAGCTGTAGGTTTTTGAGTTCAGCTGTGAGGGAGCTCATAAATTAGGAGGTAAAAGCCTGGACAGATCTGCAGTCTTGTCACCTGTTTAATTACTTGCCTGCAGTTGCCCCTAAACATGGTGCCTATTTTATTCAAACCTTGCTACTGAATTTAATGGCTTGTTCTAGAGCAGTACTGCATCACAGAAAATGAAAAGGAATTAGAATCAGAGAACCACTAAGGTTGAAAAAGATGTCTGAGTCCTGAGTCCAGTCATCCACCTGTCACCAATATTGTCCATTAACCACGTCCCTCTGTGCCCCATCTCCACGTTTCTTGACACCTCTGGGGACAGTAACTCCACCATTCCCAGGGCAGCCTGTTCCAATGCATTGCCACTTTTTGGAAAACAATTTTTTCCTAATATCCAACCTGAGCCTCCCCTTATACAATTTGAGGTCATTAGGATCCTTCAAAAAAGTGAAATTTTTACATTTGCTTGATTTAAAAAAA